GTGACTATTTAATAACATATTAATTTTTTTAAAGTTTTCCTTTTGTATTTCAGAGCCAGTAATTTTTTTCCAAATAGCAGTAATTTTAAAAGGGTCTTGTAAAGCTGGTAGACTCTAGGCACTGTGCTTAAAACAAATGAGAAAACAGACTTGGTTTTTGTGCCATAAGCCTGCAAATTGCATCTCTCTGCCCCAGTATCCAGTCTCATTTTCCCTGCTCTCTGGAGTTTTAGCAGGGCATGTGATCTTTTGGCTGGACAATTCATTCCTAGTTTCTTTTGCAGCAAGGAGCAGCCATGAGACCAAAGTTTTGACTGTGGAGATGTGTGCAGAAGTGATGTTTGGAATTTTCAGGTCACATTCTTAAAAAGGAAGCTGGTTGCCCTCCCTTTGCCTTTCTCCATTCCTGTGGGCTGGAATGTGGGTGTAGTAGTGGTGAAATAACTTCAGCCGTGTAGACAGGCAAAACATCAGTGTGCATCAAAGTCACCTGGAGGGCTTGTTAAAACACCGATCTCTGGACACCATCTCCAGAATTTCTGATTCAGGGGGTCGGAACCATTTCTAACAAATTCCCAAGTGATGCTGCTGCTGATCAGGGAACACACTTTGAAGACTAGTGCCCTAGGGGATGATGGAGTGGCAACAGAGGAGACACCTGGGTTTCTAGATTATCTTGTAGGGTAGATCTGCTTTCCTTTTTTAAAATTAATTAATTTATTTTTATTATACTTTAAGTTCTAGGGTATATGTGCACAACATGCAGGTTTGTTACATATGTATACATGTGCCATGTTGGTGTGCTGCACCCATTAACTAGTCATTTACATTAGGTATGTCTCCTAATGCTATCCCTCTCCCCTCCCCCACCCCACAACAAGCCGCAGTGTGTGATGTTCCTCTTCCTGTGTCCAAGTGATCTCATTGTTCAATTCCCACCTATGAGTGAGAACATACAGTGTTTGGTTTTTTTGTCCTTGCAATAGTTTGCTGAGAATGATGGTTTCCAGCTTCATACATGTCCCTACAAAGGATATGAACTCATCCTTTTTTATGGCTGCATAGTATTCCATGGTGTATATGTGCCACATTTTCTTAATCCAGTCTATAATTGATGGACATTTGGGTTGATTCCAAGTCTTTGCTATTGTGAATAGTGCCACAATAAAGATACATGTGTGTGTGTCTTTACAGCAGCATGATTTATAATCCTTTGGGTATATACCCAGCAATGGGATGGCTGGGTCAAATGGTATTTCTAGTTCTAGATCCTTGAGGAATCGCCACACTATCTTCCACAATGGTTGAACGTAGTTGTACAGTCCCACCAACAGTGGTAAAGAGTGTTCTATTTTCCTCACATCCTGTCCCCCAGCACGCTGTTGCTTTCCTGACTTTTTATAATGATATGCATTCCTAACTGGTGTGAGATGGTCATCCCATTGTGGTTTTGATTTGCAACTTTCTCTGGATGGCCAGCTGAGTGATGAAGCACTTTTTTTTTGTTTTTTTTGTTTCTTCTTGTGTTTTTGAGACGAGTCTCGCTCTGTCGCCGAGCTGCGAGTGCAGTGCCGGATCTCCAGCTCACTTCAAGCCTCTGCAATCCCGGGTTCACCGCACATTCTCGCTGCCCTCAGCCTTGGAGACCGCAGTAGCTGGGACTACAGCCGCCCGCACATCGGAGATCGCCCACGCTAGTTTTTTATATTTTTTAGTAGAGCGGGTTGTCACCTGGCTTACGCAGGAGGTCTCTCGATCTTCCTGACCCTCAGTGATCCGCCCGTCTCCGGCCCTCCCAACACAGGTGCTGGGATTACAGCGCTTGAGCCACCGCCGCGACCGGGGATGAGTGGAGCGACTTTTTTCATGTGTCTGTTGGCTTGCATAAATGCTTCTTTTGTGAGAAATATCTTCATCATTCTTCACCCACTTGCTTTGAGGGGGTTGTGTTTTTTCTTGTAGAGTTCTGTTCTGGAGTTCTTTGTAATTCTGGTTCTAGCCCTTTGTCAGATTGATAGCAATCAGAAAATTGTTCCCATTTCTGTAGGTTGCTTGTTCACCTCTGATTGGTTCTTCTTTGCTGTGTAGAGCACTCTTTTATGTTTAATTAGATTCCCATTTTGTCTAATTTCTCTTTCATGGTGTTCTTTCCTTATATTATTTCTTGTTCCTCTATTTGCCTGTCTGAATGTATTGTCTCTATGTTTCTTTCTTCTGGGTTTTTTGCTCTGTTATGGATCTAATCATTTAATCCTTTAATTTTCATCTTTGCATTATTAATTTTTTTTGTATATTAGTTGTAAAGAATATTTATTCAGTTTTGGCTCTTCTTTCCTACGATATGGGCTATTTAGCCAGTTTATTTCCCTAGACCATTATAATATATGGAATTTCCTTCCACATTCTTTTGGTTTTTTTTTCAGGTTTGTTCTATTGATTTTTAGATTTCAGTATGGTGTATGTATTTGTGTATTATTCTTTTCTTGCGAGGCTTCTGTCTTCTGTCTCATTGGCTTCATTCATTCTTCTGTTTTTGTTGTATCGATGTACCTATGTCTGTTTTTGTTATTTTCTGTATGTCTCTTTGTATGTATTATTCAGTGTTGAAGTTCAGGTAGCGTCGATGCCTCCAGCTTTGTATCTCTTTGACTATTTTTTTGACTAGGGCTTTTGGAAGATGGGCTCCATATATTTTTTTAAGCGGTTCCATGCTTTAAATTAATTAACAAATTATCTGTCAGCAATCCCATTGGTAGCTTTGATGGGCATGACACTGAATCTACAAATTACCTTGGGCAGTATGGCCATTTTCACGATATTGATTCTTCCTATCCATGAGCATGGAATGTTCTTCCATTTGTCTGTATCCTCCTTTATTTCATTGAGCAGTGGTTTGTAGTTCTCCTTGAAGAGGTTCTTCACATCCCTTGTAAGTTGGATTCCTAGGTATTTTATTCTTTTTGAAGCAATTGTGAATGGGAGTTCACTCATGATTTATCTCTCTGTTTGTCTGTTACTGGTGTAGTAGATCTGCTTTCTGCATGGACTACTCAGTTACCCCCATGGGAGAGAAATAAACTGTTACTTATTTTTTTGAACCACTGTAGTTTTGAATCAGTTTGTTATAGCAGCAGCTTAATCTATAGCAGCTAAGTCATGTTCAGGAAATTAAACTTTACCAAGGGAGGCAATATTGTATAGTGGATGTACATGGGGCCAAATAACATGCATTTGAATCCCAGTTCTCCCACTTCTGAGCCGTGTGATCTTGGGCATGTTATTCAACCTTGTTATGACTCAGTTTTCTCATCTATTAAATAGATTCAGAGGGACAAGTTCGCCTACAGCTCGTTCCCTTTCTAGACTATATCCAGTATCAGGGCCTAGAATTCCCTGCCCAGTAGCCATAAGCCAGCTTCCAAGGTCTGCATGGACTTTTTTGGCTTTGTCCTGATGGCTGACTATACCTTCCAGGTACCCTTGGTCTGAGATATTGCCAAGGGGTGGCTGTGGGACAGTGGTGTGGGTGGAACTCAGATGGGCAAGTTAGAGTGTACTACATTAGACATGAGGCCTCTCTGGCATGTGATGACAGAGCAGAGGGTGGTGAGAGGTAGGGGTGAATTGCAGACCAGTGGCACACTCTCCAAAGAAGTCACATTCAGGTAGCACAGAACAACCCATGAGTGTGATGAGAATTCTAATTTTGTTTTTTTTTTTTAAAGACACAGGTTCACGTTATGTAGCCCAGTCTGGAGTGCAGTAGTGCAATCATAGCTCCCTGCATGCTTGAATACCTGGGTTCAAGCAATCCTCCCAAGTAGCTGGAACTAAAGGTGCATACCACCATAATGGCTAAGTTTTATTTTTTGTAGAGATGAGGGTCTGGTTCTGTTGCCCAGGCTGGCCTCAAACTTCTGGCCTCAAACAATCTGCCCACATCTGCCTTACAAATTGCTGGGATTACAGGTATGAGCTATTGTGTCTGGCCAGAGTTCTAAATTTGAGTCTGGCCCTCCAGTTGTCGTGAAAGTATATTTGTTACGTTAGGAGAATAGAACATATTTGATAGTTTGAGAGCTGGATTTACAATTTTAAAGTATTTAGGCATTGGCAGGCAAACTTCCTTTTGAACACCTGCTCTTCCCTGTAAACTCAGGTGGGGGGTGGCGGGGGGGCTGGATACCTTGTCACCCTGGCATGAGGAATAAATGTAACAACAGATAAAAAATACTCAAAGCATATGGTATGTACTCGATGGCATTGAAAATGATGACGTTTATGATTCTCCTGAAATCTTAAAAAGGAAGCTGGTTGCCCTCCCTTCATCCTTCTCCATCTCTGTGGGCCGGAATGTGGATATAGTAGTGGTGAAATAACTCCTGAGGGAAATTTTATCATAACCTTGACACTAAGAAAGGACAAGATGGCACAAGAAAAATAAACCAAGTGGGCTTTACTTATGATGCAAAAATCTTTTCTTTTCTTTTTTTTTTTTTTTGACAGAGTCTCGCTCTGTCGCCCAGGCTGGGGTGCAGTGGCCGGATCTCGGCTCACTGCAAGCTCCCCCTCCCTGGTTTAGGCCATTCTCCTGCCTCAGCCTCCCGAGTAGCTGGGACTACAGGCGCCCGCCACCTCGCCCGGCTAGTTTTTTGTATTTTTTAGTAGAGATGGGGTTTCACCGTGTTAGCCAGGATGGTCTCAATCTCCTGACCTCGTGATCCGCCCGTCTCGGCCTCCCAAAGTGCTGGGATTACAGGCTTGAGCCACCGCACCTGGCCAGATGCAAAAACCTTAATAAAATATTACCAAATAGAACCCTACAGTCTATCTTTAAAAGGATAATATATTGTGACCAAATAGGGTTTATCGGAAGAATACGAAGACGATTCAACTTTTAAAAATACATCAAATGTAACCTACTACATCAACAGTTAAAAAAACATTCACTTTATATAAAAATCTCACTAGAAATAGACAGAAATGTCTCTAACTTGTAAACAATGTATCAGAAAACTATAACAAACGCCATATTTGATGGTGAATTATTAGAAACTCTAGGGTAACAATGGGGACTATCAACCAAATCAGTGACCACAGGAGAATGAGTGGGAAGAGGAGGCAGAGGGGCCAGGCGAAGGGAGAGTTCCGACACATCTGCCGCTCTGGAAAGAAGTAAGCTTGGTGGGAAAGAATCTGTGGGTGACCCATAGGCGAGAGTGGAAGGCATGGAATCAGATGAGATCAATTAGGGGGAGAGAGTAGGGTAGGAAGAGAACCAAGAAGAAAAGCCAGGAACACTGTATTAAGGGAACCATGACACTGGGGAGCCAGAGACTGAGTCTGGAAGGGAGCAGACGGAGGAACAGAAGCAAAGGGAAACCTGGAGGGAAAGGGCACTGAGGAGGAGGGTGTTCTTCACAGAGTCAAAGTAAAGAGGGCAAGGATTTAGGAGTCACGATTTGCTACTGAGAGGCTTCTGTTGACCTTAGCCAAAGCTGTTTCCGTGGAGCGGGGAGAGCTAAGGGCCGTGTGGGTGGGTATTCAATGGTAAAATCAGAAGTGGAAGCAGAAAATGAGCACTTCCACCAGGAAGGGGAAGTGAGCTGTGCGTAGGCACCACGAGAAGGAGGTGAAGTTCCAGGGGAGTTTTATGAGGTTGTGGTGAAATCAGCATTTTTGTAAGTCCGAAGGGGAGCAACCAGTGGAGAGTAGAGAGACTGACAAGAGACAACAGAAAGCAGATGACTGACGGGGCAAGTTCCTGCTGAAGGTGGGAGGAAAGAGATGCTCATAAAAGTGAATTACTGTTTCACCATGAAAAACATAAATGAAATCATTTATACTGCCATTCCTTTATTAATTCAGTAAGTATTGATTAAGTATCTACTACGTGCCAGGCACTAACCTGGTGCTGGAAATAAGATAGGAAAAATTCCCACCCTATATTGTGTAAGTTCATTAACTTAAAAAAAAAAGCAAAACCAAATCCAGAAACAAACACAAATTTGGCCCCTGTCAGGCCAGCGCTAAAGGAGGCATGGTCTTGGAGGAAGTGTGTGTGACCTCCAGGCACTGGAGTCCCTCAGCAGGAATGCTACTCATCTCAAAGGCAACACAGAAAGTGGCAGCTGGGACCAAGGATCCAGAATTTGAATACCCTCCTACCACATTCTATCAGAGAGTCCTTTAGGACTATGTTAATGTGAGAGAAAAAAACTTTACTTCAATGACAAGTTTTCACTATGAATGATTAGGAGAGTCTCCCTTCTCCTGAAACATTGCTGTTAGGGACAGAATGGAAAAGACTCCTGGACATATGGCCCAGAACTACAATGCATGTTAGATAGAAGAGGTACACGCCATGTGTCATAACTAGAAAGGAGAAACGCAGGCTTGCTGTGCTTAATGCACTCACAGCCTCAATAAAGACAAATGACAATAGGCAAAAGGATGATGACAGATGCTCATTTACATCAGTAAACCTGATATCGAAACCTTCAACCCTCTGAATAGCAAGTCACTGGTTCTTTTCTTTCACCTTCCCCCCGGCCCCTGCGCCAACCAATTTCATTCAGATACAGCTTAGCTGGACCAAATCTATCAAGTCATGCTTATCCTTAATCCTCATCAGAGTTCTTAAAGTCATCAACTAACCATATTGATTTAGAAATAGAACAAGAAAAGCAGAGAAGCTGTGTTTTGACCTTTTTCCTGAAACATTGCTCTTAGACACATATGACCCAGAACTACAATGCATGTTAGATAGAAGAGGTACACGCCATGTGTCGTAACTAGAGAGGAGAAATGCTAAATTCATGAAAAGGGATTCACAGACAGTTTTAACAGAAAGGGCCTTTGAAGTAATTGACTGGGATCTTATTTGACAGGATGAAACTAATCAATTACAAGGCTACCTGACGGATGCTCAGCTTAGTATCTGGGTGCACTGCAACCCCACCTAACATTTTTTTCTATTATGCCATGTAACCATATTCCCATATTGAGTTACATTTTCAAATACATGACTTTTCCAGTGAATAATTGAGAGAATTCCTTTTCTGAAAAACTGCCCACATGGAATGGATAAATGAGCACTTGCACCAAAGAAGATGCCAACATCAGACTGCAAATCTCTAAGACAGACTTAAGACAAAAAGTTCTGAAGTGAAAAGTTATCTTTGTTCACACTGTGGATTATTCAGGTTTCTTGCTTTCCCCTGAGACACATTTTTAAAAACTGACTTTATTTTTTAGAGCAATTTTAGATTCATGGCAAATTTGAGTGAAAGATACAGAGATTTCCCGTGTACTCCCTGACCCTCAGATACATAGCCTCTCCCATTATCAAAATCCCCCACCAGAGTGGTTCATCTGTTACAATTGAATGTACACTGACACATCATTCCCCAAAGTCCATAGCTTACACTGCTGCTTCACGTTCTACCACTTTGGACAAATTTATGAGGACACAGATCCACTATTATGATATCATATAGAGTAGTTCCACTGTCCTAAGAATCTTCTGTGATCATCTATTCATTCCTCCTTTCTCCCGAACTCGGGCAACCACTGGTCTTTTTAACTGTCTCCATAGTTTTGCCTTCTCGAGAATGTCATGGTTGGTAACATATGGTATGTAGCCCTTTCTGGTTGGCTTTTGTCACTTAGTGATACACACTTAAGGTTCCTTCATATCTTTTCATGGCTGGACAGCTCATTTCTTTTTAGCATTGAATAATATTCCATTGTCTAGATGTACCACTGACATCTACCTTAAATCTTTTGCCCATTTCATTTTTACCCTCTAACCATTTCATTACTAAAACACAAAACAAACTCTGGAAAGGAGTTTGTTGATGAGAAAACACTGCACTGAAAGTAAGATTTAAATTGAGGAATGGAGATTTTCTGTGGATAATTATCTGTGTTCCACTTTACCAAAGAAAACATGAATTTCAAGTAGTGCATAAAGTAATTCTCCTTAAAAAATGTGGGAATAAAGAAATCAGTCCTGGGTACTGGGAATATAGTTATCTCTCAGAAAAATCTTGCCCACAAAATGCATCAGACTGAGATGAAATACTCTAGGGTATATTAAATTTTATTCTAATACTGAAGGGAGAAAAAAAAGGAAGGAAAGAAAAATGAAGCAGGATGAAAAATAAGGTGATTGAGAGAGAGAAAAGACAGAGAAACTTGTTAACTACAGGACTTTCTGAGCAAGATATTTTTCTTCCTTTTACAAGTTAGAAGCTATTGAATAATTCATGCTAAGCGTGGAAAGGCTGTCTTTTCCCTGGGTGATGTATAACTAAGCAGGAGAGAGCTTCGAGTGGGTTCACCACATCAGCCACCACTCTTGCCTCTGAGCACAGGGTGCTCTCCTCTTGAGCTCAGCTTCTGCTTTTGCAGCCAAGCATTCTTGCTGCTGCTGCCTGCCTGCCCACCCGCCTGGGCTTGCAGCCCGCCACTTTACTTTCTCCAGCCCTGCTACCAGCTGGAAGTCTCCCTGCAGCTGCTAGTTCCTGTCCAGGACCATGTGTGTGGATGCTGCTTGGGAGAAGTGGGCACTTGCTCCTGGCACTGATCCCAGTTGAGTTTCTCCTGTTGATTTCTGGACCACTGATGCTGTTGCTGAGGAGGTATTTTCTGGCATCCCTCCCTCTAAGACACCGGCTAAGGACCAGCCCAAACGCAAGGTACCCTTCATCTCTTTTCCATGGGATTTTCCCCAGCTGGGATATCTCTGCTTTCTCCTGGAACTAGGTCCTCCTGCTGGCAATATTTCTCTCTCTCTCTCTCTCTCTCTGTCTCTCTCTCTCTCTCTCTTTCTCTCTCTCTCTCTCTCTCTCTCTCTCTGTGTGTGTGTGTGTGTGTGTGTGTGTGTGTGTGTGTGTGTGTTGAGGGAGAAGAGGAGACTGTTTTGGGTATTGCTCTGTCCTAGGGCTTCCCCAATGCCTCCTGAATGCAATGCAAAGTGGCCTTTCCCCTGGCTCTGGAGACATTTCCGAGGCAGGCACCTGTCATCTGCCACCCCCGTCCTCCTCGAGCTCCCTTTCTCCCCCTCCCCCAGCCCATTATTCTGCTTCAGCCTTTTGTGTCGGTGGCAGAGGGCTGAAGGGTTGTCTTTGCCCTTCTGGCAGGCAGGAAAGTGTCAGGATGGACCGAGCTGCCGGAAGCCGACGCTAGCGAGGGAGGTGTGAAGAGTTGGCCAGAATGACCAACTCCTCCTCCACATCCACCTCCTCCACCACCGGGGGCTCGCTGCTGCTGCTCTGCGAGGAAGAGGAGTCGTGGGCGGGCCGGCGCATCCCAGTGTCACTCCTGTATTCGGGCCTGGCCATCGGGGGCACGCTGGCCAACGGCATGGTCATCTATCTCGTGTCGTCCTTCCGAAAGCTGCAGACCACCAGCAACGCCTTCATCGTGAACGGCTGCGCCGCCGACCTCAGCGTCTGCGCCCTCTGGATGCCGCAAGAGGCGGTGCTCGGGCTCCTGCCCGCCGGCTCTGCGGAGCCCCCCGCGGACTGGGACGGCGCTGGGGGCAGCTACCGCTTGCTACGGGGTGGGCTGCTGGGCCTCGGACTCACGGTGTCCCTCCTCTCCCATTGCCTCGTGGCCCTGAACCGCTACCTGCTCATCACCCGGGCGCCCGCCACCTACCAGGCGCTGTACCAGAGGCGCCACACGGCGGGCATGCTGGCGCTGTCCTGGGCGCTCGCCCTGGGCCTCGTGCTGCTGCTCCCGCCCTGGGCACCGCGGCCCGGCGCCACGCCACCGCGCGTCCACTACCCGGCGCTGCTGGCCGCCGCGGCTCTGCTGGCGCAGACGGCGCTGCTGCTGCACTGCTACCTGGGCATCGTGCGCCGCGTGCGTGTCAGCGTCAAGCGGGTCAGCGTGCTCAACTTCCACCTGCTGCACCAGTTGCCCGGCTGCGCTGCCGCCGCCGCCGCCTTTCCGGGCGCCCAGCACGCGCCGGGTCCCGGTGGCGCCGCGCACCCGGCGCAGGCCCAGCCCCTGCCTCCCGCTCTGCACCCGCGGCGGGCACAGCGGCGTCTCAGCGGCCTGTCGGTGCTGCTGCTCTGCTGCGTCTTCCTGCTGGCCACGCAGCCGCTGGTGTGGGTGAGCCTAGCCAGCGGCTTCTCGCTGCCGGTGCCCTGGGGAGTGCAGGCGGCCAGCTGGCTCCTGTGCTGCGCCCTGTCAGCGCTCAACCCGCTGCTCTACACGTGGAGGAACGAGGAGTTCCGCCGCTCCGTGCGCTCAGTCCTGCCGGGCGTCGGCGACGCGGCGGCCGCTGCGGTTGCCGCCACGGCCGTGCCCGCAGTGTCCCAGGCGCAACTGGGCACCCGCGCCGCGGGCCAGCACTGGTAACCTAGCCGGGGCCCGAGGGAAGCGGAGATCCCCGGCTTCCAACGTCCCTGGTCACCGTCGCCTCCTTCCCTCCTAAGGCATCCCCTGCCAGAACGAAGACTCCCGCCGCGAAGCCCAGTAGATCAGGGGAAAATGTGACCTTCGACCCCAGCGGGCTACCTGAACCAAGGCCTCTCCCTAAGTGGGACGCCCGACGTCAGTTTGGACGGCCACCTGATTTTTACCCTTTGTTTCTGTGTTTTAGAGAAATCCTAAATCAAAACACCAGGGACTTCAAGAACTTGCAAACTGGCGTTTTAAAATAACCGGTTAATTTATTTCGACATAGTTTGTTTTTGAAAAAGAGCTTTCATAATGTATAACCCTTCCCTCTTTCATCGTCTTATATATGAAGCGCCTTGAGTGTGCATGAGCCAAAGGAAATAACATTGAAGAAGGAAAACAATATGTAGAAAGTATTTTAGAAAGTAACCTGTCTTTGATGATGCTTCTCTTATCATTTAGTTTTTGTATATTAACCTGGAGCAGTGAAGCCCTAGGTGTGCCCACCAGTATGAGTTGCCATTAAGACCTCAAGCCCTTTATTCTTAAAAGGGTTTTTAATAAAGTCTTTCTCAAATGAGGTAGAATCTTAGCCAGTGAGAAAAAAAAAAATTATTTTATGCTCCTTTTGTTGCACTCCTAAGACTGAAAATTGGCGTTGAGTGTTAAAGTGAAAATTTTCCAGTTTGATAATTGATGGTCGGAGTCAGCACTGGAATTTTGAAAACAAATAAGGTGATTATCTATTTTAGGTACCATTTCACATTTTCTATAGCATGCACACTTGTTGCTACCCTCATTTTGTAACCAATTTATTTGCCTTATGAATGTGATTGCAGCTTTGAACATTCTGTACTATAATGGTTGCTAAGAAGAATAAGTCCTTCTGTTTTCTCTTTAACATTTAAAATATCTCAATGCACATGATATAATTAAACACTAATAATACCATGACTGCATAGCTAATATTAGCTGCTATTGCATGCTCCTAGATGCTAGAACTTATTGGGCATGTGGTATACTAAAGCGATACCCGTTAGACAAGGACATTTTACTTCTTCCAGACACCAGAAGAAATGGCCTTCACTTATTTGAAAAGAGACACAGACACCTCTGGCTACCTAGAGTTCTTCCTGTCTTGACCCAATTTATGAGAAAGCTCCCAGTTGGGACTTTAGCTCACAAATGGAATCACAGTCAGGATGGATCAGTAATATGGTTTGGCTCAGCAAAGCCAGCTGTGCTCTTTTAGGGTTTAAACAAGCCACACGTTAGAAAGCAACACTGTTTTTATGTAGTTCATATATATTACCATGACATTTAACATTAATATTGTGTATGTTGAAGGAGGTATGATAAACTCAGTCATATATAGTGAACAATTCAAATGGGAAAATATTCTAAAACATATTATTTGAGATTTGTCATATTCATCTTTGGTTTACTAAGTTTACTTAGAAATATTTGAAATGCAAAATTGTGTGAAATCACCTTATCAAATTAAAATGGGAGGAAAGTAATTTTAATAATCATATGTCAGCATTCTGACTACTCACCACGTAAAATCTGGGCCCAAACAGCCTCAGTTAACTGCATAATTCAGGAACAAAACCAGCTTGCTTTGTTGCACACCTGGGTAATTTAAGCCAGGATATTAGGACCACTTGTTGTACATTTGAATAATTATGGAAGTTGGGACAAATATGTTCACCACCAACAATCAGCTGTCATTTTATTAATCTATCCCTTTTGTGCATGCACCATTTCTCTCTTACTAAGGTTTCATCTGTTCACATTTTCCTTGATTCAAATATTAAAGTTCAGACAACCATTCTGAGTTTTTTTTCTTCTGTCTCTGGTTTCCTTGCACACCTCCTTGAGAACACTATAACAGAGGATATGGTATTCCAAAGCACTAGTGATGAAAGTAACTTCTTCTTGCTGGCTTTATCTAATTTTAGTTTCTAAAATTATTTCTACTTTATATAATGAAATAAGGCCCACATACCAGCATTAAAGAGAAATAGGTAAGATTTCCTTTCTGTAAGTGTTGGGGAATAGGTTACAACAACAACAGAGAACTGAGAATTTTCCTTTTGGGGCAGGGCTGGAGCGGGGATGCTTTTCTAAGTCTCTGTCAAAAAGGTCTTCTTTTAATTAGACCTTTATCTCTGTTTCTCACTGTAAGTGGCTGTGAATGACTTCCCCCGCTATTCCTATAAACATCTGCCACACATATGAAGTCAGCTTTCCAAGGGTATACCCGGTATCTTGCAATGTTTCTGGCTAGCACTGAGAATCATCTTATACTGGCTCCATGCCATATGGGAGACCTACTTTAGCTTAATTTACTGATAATTAACTCCACAGGACTGATTCACTTTTAATTTCAAGGTAGTAATGATGTGTCTAAAAATGGTTTACCAGGGCACTAGCTGTGAGTGTTGGAGTTACTGGTTTTACAAATTAGCAGAGATCGTGTTTTTGTTCAAATGAAACCACATATTATCCACTCAGGAATAAAAAAAATCCTAATTGCTGTTGTGGGCTGCCCTATTTTGCCTTTTCTGCTTTTTTCTCCCTTTAGATATATGCCTGTTAAGACATATAGCACCCGCCCGTCTCCCCATTGCATTTTAAATGGCTAAATTCTAGGATGTAATAGGTATTACCCCTAGCACTTTCCTTCTTCCAAATTGTAGTCTGTTAATAAACAAGAATTGTTTTTCACAACAGCATCCACAGGTGATCTTTGTTTTAAACAGGACAGGGAGAGTTCCAAGATCAGACAAGTTTTCCCGTGTCTCAGAATTATGGGGAAAGATTTCTACAATGGGGGTTTTGTTGTTGTTGTTGTTGTTTTTTTTCAGGAGGACCCAGTTGGAGGGTAGAGTGGGGCTGAGGAAGGGGGAAGGGGATTATTTTAATCCGCACATACAGAAAGTCCTTGAAAAAATCAGCTTACCAATGGAACGTCGGTTTGCTTTAAACTCATGGGCAATGCAACCTTGTTTTTCTGATAATAACCACATTGGTCAACTTCACTGTCTCATGTGTGACCTTCATTCTGTCTCCCAGCATTCAGACAGTGCTCATCTGGATCTTTAGTAGTGCTAGGAGCTGACTTGACAAAGGACATCAGTGGCATAAATTAAATTCAAGAACACTGGGAAAAATTGTAGATATCCCCTACTTTTGAGTCCTGTCCTTAAAGTTTGTGGTAGCCGGGCCAAGAGTGGAGCTCCAGATGGCGCTCTCAGTCTGCAGGAACAAGGAGGAGGGACCCTTTCTTCCCCCCTCCCTTTTAACATCGCAAGGGTCCTCATGCATAGGTGCATGACTCAGCCCACAATTCCAAGTTCTGCCTACATCCTTCCCTCATCTAGCCACTTTGCCCACTTCTGAGAGCTCATGGTGCACAAACAGGGGCCAGAGCATGCCCTGGGAGTGGCCTCGAGCCATTTGGGCGTGGAATTCCTGGGTTCCAAGTACCAGCTCCTGTTGAGGGAGGCACTGGCTCTGAGTGGGCACATTTCATTGGGACTTCTTTGCCTTTGGGAAGGGTAGCCAGAAAAGGGCAGAAGCAGAGTTTTTAAGGCCTGAGACCCAGGCTGGGTTCCCACATTATCTAAAGGCAATACTGCTTTCAATACTGCTTGCACATAGACCCTCTCGAGGCATCCTTTCCTAGCCCCTCCCATCTTCAGGGACTCCTTAAACAGGTGCCACACAATGAGTTTGCCCAGATACTTAATCGTATCCTGCCTAATGCAATAGTTGAGGAGGATGGTGAGGAGGGAGTAGGATGGATTTATATAAAACAAGAAGTTGGATATTGATGATTGTGGAAAGGGAGTGATGAGTACATGGGGATGCATTGCATAGTTTTCTCTACTTTTGTGGTGTATCTTTGAAATTTGTCATAATGATAAGTTAAAAAAAGTGAAGCTAAACTAAAAAAAAAGATAAAGAAGAAAGGAGAAAAGTAAAAAAAGAAAAGAAACTAACATTCCTATGGTCACAGAATGATTAAATGGAGGGGCTGGGATTCAAATCTTTGACTCCAGAGCATGAAGCTGTAAATACTGGGCTGTAGGATAAAATAAGAATTTTAAAGTCAAGAGTAAAATTCTCTCCATGATGTGGCCATTCCCTAACTTCCCAAATCCATCTTTCCCGTACGTACTTGCATCCTTGGCTGGTTGATGTGTACACTACCTACCTTTGAAACGTGGCCCATGTTCTGCGTCTGAGCCTTGGGGTATCCAAAGACATTCCTGGGATGTCTTAACTTTTCGTCGCTTATCCGGGCTCCATCCTGCTTTCCAGGAAGACTCATTTAGTTTCTGTCTCCTCATTAGAGCTCCCACCACAACCATAAGCTCTGCCTCCAAAGAACTGCCTGTACCACTTTGTTCTGACCACGTATCCCCTTCTCCTATTATCTCTTTCTCAATGTACATGTCTTGTCTTCAAAAACAGATAGAAAAAGGTTTTTTGTTTTGTTTTCATTTTTCAATTCCTTTGACTTTTAAGGGCAAATACTGTCTTCTATCTTTTTGTAACCAGTTCTCTGAAATATACCATATATTTAATATACGTGTATAGTTGAAGACAGTAATTTTAAAAGAAAAGGTTTGGTCCTTTGCCTTGAATGTTTATTTTTCTCTTAGTGAATTAGACCCAAGAATAAATCCTAGCTCCCACCTTATATCTTACCAAAGGATATTCCAGAGTAATACCGTGTGGGATTATCAGCCGGGCGTATAAGTCACTTGCTGTTGGTGCTGTCAGTGATGGTGATTTGCCAGAATGCTGGGAGAAATAACTATGGGAATGTCTTTTGTCTTTACAATTCTTTGTCACTTCAAAGCCTGATCGGCCTGAAAAAAGTACTAGAGATCATCTGGCTCCTTGCTATTTTTATTAGATAGAAAGTGCTTTAATTTTTAATCTTTCCTGGTATAAATTAGGCTCCTTTACCATTTTTCTATTTTCAGGGAGTAGAAAAGTATGTAGTATCCTTCGTATCGTAATGCTGTAACAGATACTCTGCTTTTAGCTAAATGAAAGTTCTATGAAATATTGGCATGGTTGAATCTGCAATTACTACAAAAATTTGCCCTTGTGAAAGTTTTATTTTTAAAGTGACGTCATTTTTTCTACCTGAAGATTAAAGTCCGTTTTCCTAGAAAAGTTGTAAAGTACAGAAACATAAAAAGATACCATCCAAAGTTCCACTTCCCAAAGACAATCACCCTTGACATTTTGCTGTATTCACCTACTCTTTTTACTCTTTCCTATGTAAACTTAATTGTACATAATTATGATCAGAAATTATATGCTGACATATGTATTTTTTTTTGTGTGTGTATACTCACCTATATAAAAACAGTGTAAGCTAATGAAGATGTTACAAAGTGGGGCCTAGGGACAGATAGTATTTGCCACTAGTGCTCATAAAAATTAGAATATGTTCAGCTACAAATAACAAACTACGTAACTGAAAATGCTTTAAACACCGATGACATTTAAATGTAACACAAAAGAAGTCTGGAGGTAGATGCTTTCAGAATTTGATTAGTAGCATAATGACTAGCAACAAGTAGCCTAACAGTTGTAGGTTGACCAGCTGTCACTAGCGCAAGTGGAGAGGGGAGGAGGGAGAGACCACATCTCTTGCCTTCAAAACCTTGTTAAATTAGTTCCACCCTGTTGAAAGACTTGGACTAATGGCTACTTTCTATTTACTAGGTAACTCACTTGACCTCCAAGGGGTAAATTAAAACATGGGGCAAGCGGGCACAGTGGCTCACGCCTGTAATCCTAGCACTCTGGGGGGCCAAGGCAGGTGGATCAGTTGAGGTCAGGAGTTCAAAACCAACCTGGCCAACATGGTGAAGTCCCATCTTTACTAAAAATACAAAAAATTACCGGAGTGTGGTGGCGCACGCCTGTAATCCCAGCTACTCAGCCTTTCAGAAGGCTGAGGCAGGTGAATCGCTTGAACCCGGGTGGTGGAGGTTGCAGTGAGCTGAAATCCCGCCACTGCACTCCAGCCTGGGAAATAGAGTGAGACTCTGTCTCAAAAACAAAAACAAACAATCAAAAACAAAAATGAAAAAACCATGGGACAAGAAGCCAGGGGTGTGAAGCAAAAATTCCTCTTCGTGGAGACCAGACAAGTGAGGAAATGTCATTTTCCTCTCAAAAGACACACCCTGTGATTTTGAACCAGGATGCGGTCAGGAGTGGCAGGCTGACTTATGGTGGAGGGACTCAGATGAGCCATTGACCTGCTTTTCTATCCAGTTTTATCAGGGGAAATTCCTCTCAGTTTTTGGCCATAGGTAAACTGCCAGTTGTATCAGGGAGCTTTACCCAGTTATCATTTAAAATAGACCCTAAGTGCACACTTAAGCTACACACAAGTGTAGTCTCCAGATCTGGGAAAGAATAATTTTGGTCATATTTAAAGTGTAATTGAAAAAGGAGATGATGAGCTTGCAGAAGAGAAGACTAAATGGAAAAATGAAGTTATTTTCAAATATTTGAAAGACTGGCAAGTGGAATAATAATGCTGGCTTCCATTTGTTGATAACATACTATGTGTCAGACACTGGGCTGTGCACTTTATGTACATTACCTCATCAAACTGTACAACAACCCTATAAGAGAGATACTATGATTTCAGTTTTATAGTCAAAAATCTTGTTTTTTTTGAAGCTAGACTTGCCCAATGTCACTGGCAAGGGAAAGAGATGATAGTCAAGCTCAAGTCCAGCTGACTCAAAAGCCCGGGCTTGTGAACACATCAAACTAGAGAAGAGG